AGTCCGTGGGGGCCGGTAAGCTCCAGCTATGGCTCCTGCATGTTCCATCTTCCGGATCTGTTGGCTGTGCATAGAGGCAATCTTGAGCATGTCACAGTAGAAGAACACAAAAAGGAGCAGGGCTGGGAAGAAGCCAGCGCAGGAGAGTGTCAGCACAAAGCGCGGGTGAAACACAGCAAAGAAGCTGCAAGGCCCCTGGTAGGTGGTCTGCTGGAATATGGGGACTCCAAGTGGGAGGAAGCCAATGACGTAAGACACTAACCACAGCCCAGCAATGCAGGCTCCAGCCACAAACCCATTCATGATCTGGAAGTAGCGGAGAGGCTGCTTGATGGCAAGGTACCTGTCAGAGGCAATCAGCATGACTGTGAGGACAGAAGCAGCTGCGGAGGAAGTGACAAATGCCATCCGAAGACTGCACAGGGTCTTCTGTGTGGGCCGAGCTGGGTTGGAGAGCTGGTCAGTGACTAGGCCAGAAATCGCCACGCCAAGCAAGGTGTCAGCCACAGCCAGATTCAAGGTGAAGCAAAGACTAACGCCATCATTCCTGTGGATCAACAACAGCTCAGCCACGGCCACTAGTGCATTAGCAGCAATGATGAGGGACGCCAGGACAGCAAGGATCACTCCAAATGGGAAAGATGACTCCATGTCTGGAAGTGGCAGGATTTCCACTTACCAAGGCATGCTGGCTCTCTAGCTCAATTTCTCATGGGCTAGAGGAGGAGAAGCTGTGGATTCAGAGCTACAGCACAATTCTGGCCATCACTGGCAGTCCAGGCTGGCAGCTTGTCATCTTTGGGATCCTGCTGGTTATTAAGAATCACTCACTCCTCCCTTTTCAGTCCTCAGCCTCTTGCTTCTCCAGCTCTCTGAAGGCAGCAATCCCTGTACAGACCTCCCCTGAGCCCTGAGTTAGTCCCTCCCCCTCCAACAACCAAGTTACTAGACAACTCGAAAGTACCTGGTGCACACTCTCACCAGACTCTCTCTCCTTTCACTGATGCTTCACAGACGATGGAGGGACTGGAGCATTCAGTAGATCTCCTGTCTGGCAGATGATACAATTGACTAACCACACCTTTTCTTCCTCCACAGCTTAATGTTAAATTTCCACTTCTTTTCTTCCTCAATCTCAAGCTTAACAACTAATCTCATCTTAATCAAGCACTTGCTCAGTAACTAATTCTCAGTTACTATAATGACTGCTTTTAATGAAAACAAGATGATCATAATCAGTTAAAGTGGGAAGTGAGGGCAGGCAAGCTATTTCAGGGCTCAGCAGACTTCCAGGGGATTTATCATATATTTAAGCTGTTTCTTATCTTTTGCTTCCTAACACAGAAGATTCTAATTTTCTCAAAGAGGGTGTGCTGTTTCCCTCTTTCTCATCCCTCGGAATTCAGTCAGTTTGGGATTTAGAAGGGAGGGAAAAATCAAGCTGAGAACTGTAAATAGCCTTCATTTTGTTTAGAATATAGCCCGTCCCCGTCTACTAGTAAGGCTGTGTCTGTGGGATATACTCACTGAAAATTTTTCTGCACCATGTCAGACCATGTTTCTGGTCATGAGTAGTGGCTGCCAGGCTTGCCTTTATCTGGTAACCTTGCCTTTCTTTAAAATTTGTTTAAAATAGATTTTTATTGATTTCAGAGAGAAATGGAGAGGGCAAGAGAGATAGAAACATCAATGATGAGAGAGGATCATTGATTGGCTGCCTCCTGCAACTCCACACTGGAGATTCAGCCCACAACCTGGGCAAGTGCCCTGACGGAGAATCAAACCGTGATCTCCTGGTTCATAGGTTGACCCTCAACCATTGAGCCACACCAGCTGGGCTAACCTTGCCTTTCTTGATCTTTGTCTTTCTTGATCCTGTAGACCTAAGATATATCTGGGACAGGAGAAGAGGAGGTAGACTGCATTCTAGAAAGTGTCTGCTCTAATGTTTGTGGAATTTTCCATTTCCCAGGGATAGAGTTAGGCCAAAGGGTGACAGTGTTGTTGAGGCAGGTGAGATAGACTCAGAAAGGGCAGCTGTGTAGGTCACTCCTATTTTAGGTTGTATATCCATTTGCGCAGGTACATTAGAACTAACCTTTTGCCTGCTGCTCTCTTCTTGGATACCAAGAAAAGAGGGGTGGGGAGAAGAATGATTATAAGCTTATTTACACAGTTCAGGTGACAGCACAAATGGGAAAGGTTATTTTAAGTGAGGGAGTGGAGCAAGGTGCAGAGTTGGAAGCAAATATATTCAGATGTTTTGACAGACTGAGTGGGCCTTTGGCAGATGTTTCTCCTACAAAGGATCAGAAAGGCTGTGGCGTGGGGACTTGGTATTTCAGTTGCCAACCTGAGTACTGTTCTTATTGTTACATCCATTAGAAGGCTGATTTCAGTTGGTTGGCACCTGGCCTAATTTTATACATGGATCTAAGGTGTGCTTTTGTTTTCCCAGCCCTAGACTCCCTTCATGGAGTCAAGATGGCCCAAGATGCTCAAACTTGAGAGTGCATCAGAATCTCCTATGGGGCTTGGGCTTCATCCCCAGGATTTGGGCTTCATTAGGTCTGTGGTGGGCCTTAGAATCTGCATTTCTAACCATTTCCTAGGCCAGTGGTCAGCAAACTCATTAGTCGACAGAGCCAAATATCAACAGTACAACGATTGAAATTTCTTTTGAGAGCCAAATTTTTTAAACTTAAACTATATAGGTAGGTACATTGTTATTAACTTAATTAGGGTACTCCTAAGCTGGCCTTTGCTAAAAACATCCTTTCCCTTTCCCTCTCTCTTGTCCTTAACTGGAATCAAACCCGAGGCCCTTCAATCTGCAGGCCAAAGCTCTATCCACTGAGCCAAACCAATCTGTGTTCCCTCTCCCCCGCTCTCTCTCTCTCTCTCTCTCTCTCTCTCTCTCTCTCTCTCGTCTCTCTCTCTCTCTCTCTTAGGGGAAAGGCAGAGGGTTTGGAAGCCGTACCAAAAGGAGGAATAAAGAGCTGTACTTGCACACAGAGCAGTCCAAGTAAGACCCCAGAGGCTTGAAATAGTGTACAAGTTGGGGAATTATGATGTGTTCCAACCATAAAGTGAAAAAAAGGATGGAAGGAGATGAGGTTGGAGAAAGGGGTCCCAAGCTGCCCTCACATGGAAGTCATTACAAAGCCTCTCTTTCCCACACTCCCTCTTCACTTTCTTTCTCCCTTTCACCAGGTCATCTATTTGCTTTCAGATAACCCCTCAATTGAAAATTGAAAACAATTCAGGCCTTAGTCAGGATTTTCACCTTTATCCTGACAACAATAGGAAACCATTTGGCAGACTTAATTAAATGAGTGGTCAGAGCAGGTTTTCTTTTTAAGTTTATTCTCGTTGCTGCATTGAGAATGGTCTGAGAAGGAATGGACAAGAAAGATTTGGACAGAGCAGTCATGTGGTGATAAGCTTTGAAGTGTCCTCTGCCTCTGTCTTTGGACTTGACCGTGTGCCAGTAGAATGAAGCAGAAGTGCAAGTATGGTGGTTCTAAGTCTACAATTCAAGAGGCCTTGCTCTTTCTTGTGTTTCTGTCATCTCCATGAGGACATTCCTGAGGTAGCCTACTGGCATGGAACAGATACGTGGCAGAGACTTGAAGTGCCAGGTCAGCCCAGTTGAGACTCGTCTAGGTGATGCTGATGCTACTGGTTCAGAACCACTTTGAGAACCACTGCTCTACTGAAATGATTCTTAACCTCAGCTGTGTAGCGGAATCACTTGGTAATTCCAAAACTACTGAAATTTGGGCCACACACCAAGAGATTCTACTTTCATTAGTCTGGGATATGACCTATGCATCTGGGGTTTCAAAAGTTCCTCAGGTAATTCAATATTCAGGCATAGGTGAGAACTACTGTCCAATGGCAAAAACACAGGCTTTGGAGTCAGGAGACCAGGGGTCTGGCCTGATACTATCTGTGATTTTGCTTGGCCAAATAATTTCACCTCTCTGACTTAGATTTGACCTCCTCATATGTATCACTGGGGCAATAATAGCTACATGACAGGGTTGCAGGGGTGATAAAATGAGTATGATGGATGTGAAAGGGCTTCATAAACTGTAAAACATTACACAGGTATTTTTATTGCATGTCTTCTAGTCTCTTGTTGAAATATTTATCAGATCAGGTATTGACATGAGATCTTGGTAGAAATACAGAATTTCAGGTCTGACCCAAGACCTACTAAAGCCGAGCTTCATTTAAATAAGATTTCCAGGTGATCTATATGCACATTAAGGTTGTACTTTTCTGTTTCTCACTCTCAGGTGCCTGGCTGTATTAGTTTTCTTTCCTGCTATAACAAATTGCCACAAACTTAGTAGCTTAAACAACACAAATTTATTTAAGTTCTCCAGGTCAGAAGTCCAAAAAAGGGGCTCAACTCAAAGTGTTGGCAGGGCTGCATTCCTTTAAGAGGCTCTAGGGGAGGATAACTTGCTTGCTTTTTCAGCTTTTAGATGCTGGGTACCTTCCTTGGCTCATGGCACATCACTTTGATTTCTGATTCTTTAGTCACAACTCCTCTGACTCTGATCCTCCTTCCTCCCTCTTTAAGGACCCTTGTGGTTAGATTGAGTCTTCCTGGATAATCCGTATCTTCCCCATCTCAAGACCCTTAAGTTAAAGTACCTTTTGCCATGTAAAGTAAAATGTTCACAGGTTCTGGGTATTAGGACATGCACATCTTTGAGGGTGGGGGGAGCATTATTCTGCCTATCATATCACTATTCTCTGCTGCTAGGTCTCTTCTCCCTCCACCCCATAACAGATGCTTTTCTCAGTATGCTATTTCTTTGCCCATACCCTAAACATTTATTTATTTTTCTTTAACCATAAACACTTCCCTGTTTCTGTCTTGTCCTCTCAGTAATCCATAACCTGATTCAAACTAGTATAAGCAGCCTTGTAAAATATTGAGCTCCCTGTCATTGGGAGTATGTAAGCAGAGGCTGAATGCTCACCTGCCTGGAGGACCTTAGATGGAATTCCTGTAGTGGTGCAAAACATCATTACTCCCATTGAGTTGTCTTTTAGTCCCTACACAATCTGTTTTTGATGGGACCCTGGAGTCTTTTCTCTCCCTCAGCTCCCCCCCTTCTCTCTTAGCTACCTCCACTTCTATATCAGCCTTGGTCTTTTATGCCCCTTTTCTGACACTACCACATGGTTTTAACTGTGCATCCTAGGTGTGTGCCCATGCAGTGAGGTCAAGACCACAGAGAATGTGGTTCCTTCTTGGGAGGTTGGTGGCTGGAGCTTACAGTCCTGTTCCACTGGAGTTGGCTTAGGGCTTTCAGAGTCTCTGGAGTGGAGTGTCAACAAGGCAAACAAATGGGGGATTGAGAAAGGGAAGGAAGAAAAGGATGAGAGGGTTTATTCTCTGGTCAAACTATCCCATAATGAATGCATTAAAGGCTAGTCATACTGGATTGTCACTAAGCATGCAAAAGGGTGCTTCATCCACCCTGAGGGCATGGGGCTGAGGACCAGAGGTTTTGGCTGGAATGGGAATGGAGGAGACACTGGCTTCAACACAGCCCACCTTCAGAGCCAGGCCCCCGGAAAAGGAGCTCTAGGAAGATAGCCAAGGCAAGTTGTGCCTGATTTCTCAT